TTTTCTTATGTCTCTTTTACAATATAAAAATTTAATTAATTAAAAATTATTTTTAAAGTTTACGTTTAATAATCATTTCGGTAGTAAATATACATATAATAAAAAATATAAAAAATGTCAAATAGGTTTTTAGGTACATAAAATAGGTATTCAAGGTAAAAAAAATATTTTACTGATTTTTATTATGAAATAAATTTGTATACGACCATACCACGGTGGAGTGTACATATTTATAAAAATGTAACAGCAAACAAGTGGTTGCGCACGCGGTAGAAATGTCAGAGCAAACATTTCGTACCGGAAGATGATTAAAATTCTTTAATTATTATAACTATTTATTAAATTTTCGGTTTTAAATTCGATTAATCAAATATAATTTTTTTGTTTTTTTTTTTTTCTATGTTAAAACCATAAGTTTTATGAAAAGTGTAAAAATTTTAAAATATTTTATACGTTTATTATGAATTTCTTCCATAAGTTAATCCTCCATGAACCATTCTGGAACCTCATAACACCTTTCGCCGCCATAATGGTTACGAAAAGTAAACCCGAATATTACATAAAATTGTGAATAATATTTGTTATTTATTAATATTTAATTTATAAAAAATTTTAATTTATATTTAATGACGTTATTTTTTAATTATTTTAATTAGGAATAATAAGTAAATATTAATTATTTTTAACAGTTAAATTTTTAACTGAATACAAGGTCCACCATGATGGAACTATTTCTCAGTACGAACAATACAAGTGCGAGTGAAGTTTCCGTGTTGCGGACGATTTAAGTATGTGTGATTTTTTTTTTTTTTGAGTTAAAAAATGTATTTTATTTATAATTTAAGTGTAAAAAACATAATTATGTAAATAAAATATTATAAAATTAAGTTTAAATTTAAAGTGATGTCAATTATGTGAACGGTGTGATTTAGTATTTTTTGTAATGAAAAAAAATTATGTTTTTTGTTTGTGATACATAAAAATTTCAAAAAAAAAAAAGTGTGTGTGTGTGTGTGTGTCCCAAGATCGGACAACATGGGGTTAATTAAACTGGATTATATCATATTTACTTTTAGTATTTTATTTTTACTATTAAGGATACAATTTGTTGATGGTAATGTAATTTATTTTTATAAAAATTTTTTTTTTTATATCAATAATTTTTCGGTTAAAAGTTTAAATATACAAAATGTCCGTTACTCCGCGTCGACAGAGCTGCCAGCTGCCGTATGTTTTTAGGGTTGCCATTTAAACTGAGACATCTGCTCTTTTTTAAAAAAAAAATTATATGAATTCAAACAAACAAAAAAACTCGAATTTATCCTCAAGTGTTTTACG